ACAGCCTTCTGTGTGCACTTGCCCTGAATCAGTCAGGTGGCACTGCTGCCCAGTATGGGCATGGGGTCTGGTCACTTTGCATCATTTTGTATACCTCCTTTCAGTCTCACTGCAGGAAACAAACTCCCTGTGTCCTTGCACCCAGGCTCAAATTCAGCACTGCCCTCCTGTGTGGGCACAGGGTTGGTCATGGGAAACTCACTCCCCAAGTTTGCACGTCCAGGTTCAAATTCAGCGCAGCCTCCCTGCTTGGGTGCAGGGTCTGGTGGTGTGAAACAAACTCCCCGGTTTGCATCCCCAGGCTTGAATTCAGCTCCCCCTCCCCAACATGGGTGTGGGATCTGGTTGCAGAAAACAGGTCACCCACCTAGGCTCAAATTCAGCACAGCCTCCCTGCCTGCATGGAGTCTGGTTGCGGGGAAACAAACTTCCCCTGTCCACACAGCAAGGCTCAAATTCAGGAAGAGCTGCCCCTGCTGTGTGGGGGCAGAAAGCCCATTTGTGCAGAGGGAGTCTGACAGTTCCCATGCCACTACCACAGGGCTGGCAGGGAGGGAGATTGCCTTTGTGACTCACAGAAACCTGTTTGGCTCAGTGGATAGAGCGTTGGCCTGTGACTGAATGGTCCCGGGTTCGATTCCAGTCAAGGGCATGTACCTTGGTTGCGGGCACATCCCCAGTAGGGGGTGTGCAGGAGGCAGCTGATAGTTATTTCTCTCTTCATCAATGTATCTAACTTTCTATCTCTCCCCCTTCCTCTCTGTAAAAAGTCAATTTTATATATATTTTATATAAATATACATTTTATTGAGTTTTTACAGAGAGGAAGAGAGAGGGATAGAAAGCTAGAAACATTGATGAGGGAGAAACATCGATCAGCTGCCTCCTGCAACCAAGGTACATGCCCTTGACCGAAATTGAACCTGGGATCTTTTAGTCCACAGGCCGATGCTCTCTATCCACTGAGCTAAACCGGTGTCGGCAATAAAAAATATTTTAAAAAAATCTGCAGCCGGGGTGCCTGGGGTCTTGGCGTCCCTGGGTCTGCAGCTGTGGTTGCAGATCTTTTACCTGAGTGGCTGTAGGGTCCCCATTTGCGACTGAGACCAGATTGGGTAGTGGTGAAGCTAGGATCCTAGTCGCGAACAGTTCTGCTCTTCAAGATAGCACGGTTTCTGTGCCGGTGGTGTCCTCGCGGAGTGTCTGCGGTGGCAGTGGGGTTTTGCCACCTAAGACTGCCCCTCGGAAGACCTGCAGGATCCAACTGTCCCTATTGCACTCACCCACACAACCACATATGTGCGCCCACTCCTCTATCGCTCCCTCACTCTCACACCCTCCCTCCCTCCCTTCTTGCTGGTCACCATCTTTTTTTGAGTCTCCGTGCTTGTTTTCTAACTGTAACATGTTCCAAGGCTGAAGTGTCCCCACTCTCTCACCTGAGTCCGCCCTCTCCCTGTTCTCCCCATTCTGAGAAAATCTATCACCAATTTTGCAGTTCCCTTCTGTTTTGCTTTGTGTTTGACTTCCTGTTTCTGATAGGTAACTCATTCACGCTTCACACTCCAAAGGTACCGAGACAGCCCTCCACTCGCACCACAGCGCTGGGCGGGAGCGGAGGAGGTGGCTTGGATGGACACCCAGCAAAGGCCACGTGGCTGCAGCACCGCCGAGTGCCATGTGGAGTGGCTGCGTGTGCTTAGAGGAGTGACAGAAACCCAGCCGCACCTTGCCCGAGCTTACCTGAGGCCCATGCATGCCTCTCCTGCTCATGAATCCAGGCTGGAGGACCTGCCCAGGTGGGCAGGCGGCCCCGTAACCCTCAGGCCTGTGGCAGCCCTCCCACCCTCGCACAAGGCTCCTCCTTTATGGTTCAAGTGGCTGCGTGGCCTCCAGCCACCACTCCCATCCCAGCGATGTGGGGGGAGCAGGGAGGACCACTGCTGTGATCCTTGCAGCTGCAGGCCCCCTCCTCCTGCCTCGGGCGGCGTGCCTGAGCAGTCTTACTGGCTGAGCTCCAGGGGAGGTACTGAGCAAAGCGTCCAGAGGGCGGGGAGGCCAATAGCCCGGCCCGAAGAAATGGCTGAGGAGGATGAGCGGGCCTCTGGCCGTGCCTGCAGTGCAGCCGCCCGCCCGCCGGGAGCGCCCGCCAGGAGCAGGGCCCAATAGCCTCCTAAAGACCAGTGAGGGTTCCAGCCGAAGCCAGTGCCCCAAAGCCCTTCCTTCAGAGCCGGCCCTCCAGCCGCCGTGCCCAAGGCGGCTCCTTCCAGGCTCGCTGCTCAGGGCCAGGCTGCCTGAAGCTCCAGGGCCTGGGCTGGCCTCGGGGTGCTGGAGAGCCAGGCCGCTCCCAGGACCTTGGAGAGGCCTCTCTTGAGAAAAGTGTGTTCCCATAGCCCCAGGTTCATTTCCGACAAATCCCAGGGTCCCATGAGCCACAGGGTAGGGCTGGCGGGTCAGTGCGGATGGCCCCGTCAGAGGGCTCCCTGGGTGGGGAGCCATCGGCAGAGGAGCGGAGGAGGCCATGGCCTTTGGCGGGACCAGGCCTGAGAGCAGTGTGAATGGGCTGAGAGAGGAATGGCCTCCAGCAAAACAGAGCCGGGCCTCCATGGTTGGTGGGGTTCAGGAGGGGCTTCTGGAAGGGGGGGGAGAGCCAAGGGAGCTGGGACTCAGCAGTGTGGAGGCACAGACTGCTGCGAGGGACCAGTATCTCACCCAAGCCACGAGCTGACAGTCCCACTGCCCAGCGGCCAGGCTGATGGCGTTACTGACATGGTGGCTGGGGGCGGAGGCCATCACGGGACAGGAGTGCCCCGGGCCAGGTCCCACCAGAGTTCGGGGGACCCTGACCCACTGGCTCTAACTAGGAGACTATGACATTGAACAAATTAAGGAAAATCAATCCTACTGCAGAGGAAATGGGAACAAAGTCAGGATATGAGCAGCTTCTTTAACAAGGGCACATGGGGGGTGGGGGGCAGGGCCGTGTGAAGTCAGATCCCTTGGCCTGCCGGGAGCCGGGTCCCCCTAAGCCGAGGCTGCTGTGCTGCTGGGAGAAAAGGTGGTGCCACCTGCCTGGCTGGAGGCGGGCAGCAGGAGGCAGAGGGAAAGGTGGGGCTTAGGGAGCCCACGGAGGGCTCTGCCGTGTGGGGGCAGTGAGGGGGTGGGACCGAGTTGGTCCACTGGAGCAGCTGTGAGGAGGGGGCCTGGGGACCAGGGAGGTACTGAGCAAAGCGTCCCCCACATCCTGAGGTCCCCGAAGCCCGGTTCCTGCCCAGGGGACTGCAGGCTTCTCTCAAGGCTGTGCCACCCCCAGAGTCCTGAGCTGGGAGTGTGGGCGCTGTTGCAGGATGGGGCAGTGAAGACACAGGAAGCGGAGTGCTGGGTGTGGCCAGGGCACGGAGGGGAAGCGGGGCTGGGGGCAGCAGCCACGAGGGGAGGGCCCAGCAGTGGAGACCTGGGCCCCAGAGGCATCTGAAAACCAACCCTGGGCAGGGTCACAGACAGACACCAGCTCCGCCTCAGGGTTTATTCCATCAGCAACGTTCGCTCTGTCCCTTGACAAAAACATTAGATTATGACTTGTCTCCCATCAATTCAGTTTTTGTATGAATAACCAAAGATTTCTTCTCAACATTCGTTTTTAAACAAGAAGCTATAAATAAATAAAGCTTTAAATGCTCCTCGGTCCAAGTCACACTCTTCCAGTTCTGGGCCTCAGGCGCAGGCAGGGCCGGGGAGGGCCTGTGGGGAGTGTCCCGCGGGCATGCGGGCAGGAGCCCGGGCTGCAGGCGCCTGGGACTGGGCGTGCGGAGACAGCCTGTCTCTAGAGGCGCCGGGAGCCGGGCCGTGTGTCCGTGGGAACGGGAACAGGCCGGGAACAGGCCGTGGCTGAACAGCCCGCCTGCAGCCCGGCCCGGCACAGGCACCGGGCGTGTCCCCAGCTCTGGCAGCCGAGCGGACCCGCCTCTGCCGGGCGGCCCTTTGCTCCCCTTTAAGAGCCCCTGAGTCACCTGGTGCTGGTCTCCGCATGGCCGGACTGGCACCACCGCCCATCGGACAGAGACGGAGGGCCGCGGAGGGGGCTGCAGACTGACGGCGCCCCCGCCCAGAAGCTCCCGGGCAGGCCCCACGGGAAATGGCGCTGGCCCTCCTCAGTGCGGGGCTCACTCAACTCCCCGGAGCCAGGTTTTGGGCCTCATTCAGGAAGGCACGCTCAGGTGAGACCGGCCGTGCTCAGAACATGGCTTTGTAGTTTGCAGCCCCGGGCGAGGAGGGGGCGGGCAATGCCGGAGCCCACACTCCGGGTCCTGCCGTCCACGTGGGCCCCGCTCCGGCCAGGCAGTCCTCACAAGTACCAGGAGCAGAGGAGGGCAGGGCGGGGCAGCCTCCCCTCTCCCCACCCTAGATGCACTCTCCACCCTCCGCTCCCTGATGACACAAAGGGGTGGAGCCAGGTGTGTCCAACCTTCTGACCGGAAACAGGAAGCTGGGGGCGGGGCCCCAGGGCTGCCGGAGTGTCTTGCTGGCTTTAGAGGGGTGGCCTGTTGCTGACCAGGGGCGAGTGTGGAGTCCCCTCCTGACCCCTCAAAGGCTTGCAGGCCCAAGGAGGCGGCTGGAGGAGCCCTACCGCCAGAGAGAGAGAGAGAGAGAGAAAGGGAGAGAAAGACACACACAGGCAGAGAGAGAGAGAGAAAGAGAGGCAGACACACAGAGAGAGAGAGAGAGAAAGACACACACAGGCAGAGAGAGACAGACAGACAGACAGACACAGATAGAGAGAGATGTGCAATGGGTGGGGCCACTCCCCACTTATGGCTCCACAGTCTGTCCCTTGTCTTCAAATCTCCAGCTGCTGCCACGGCCACAGGACTCCGCTCGCCCCCGAGCCCGTGGGTGGCACAGGTGGGCTCCTCAGATCCAGGCCTGGGAACCCGAGCGCACCAGCCCCACTGGCCCCTGCCCGTCCGTCCGTCTGTCCGGACGCACCTGCCGGGAGCGGCCTACCACCTCTCGATGATGTGGCTCATGTAGTCCTCGGTGGGCGCGCGGCCCTCCTCGGCCTCCTCGCGCGGCGCCTCGGGGGCGCGGTGCAGCAGGCGCTCCTCGCGGCTGCGCAGCCGCTGCTCGCGGCGCTCCAGCTGCCGCCGGTACTGGTAGCGCTGCTGGAACAGGTCGCGCGCGTAGTCGTAGAGCTGCACGTCCAGGTCGTTGAGCTCCTCGATGCGCCGCACGGTGGCGGCGTCCACGTCCACGCCGCCGGCCCGCGTGCTGTTGTACTGCAGGAAGGGCCGGATGAACTTGAGGCTGAACGTCCGCTCGAACAGGTACTGCGTCTTGCGCTGGAACTCGGTGAGGCCGAAGAAGGCCATGCCGCGCAGGTTCTTCTTGGCGCTGTCCAGCAGCAGCTGGGCGCGCCGGGCCTCGGGCACGAAGGACAGGTTGTAGCAGCCCACCAGGCTCAGGTCGGCCAGCATGCGCACCTGGCGGTTGTTGGCCAGGTTGTAGGGGCAGTCCATGAACTCCTGCAGCGTGCAGCCCGACCAGTCCGTGCCCTCGTAGCAGGGCGGCAGCTCCTCGGGCGTGGGCGTGCGCCCGTCACACATGTGCAGGGAGGTCTTCCAGGTGGCCCCGCGCTGCACGTGCCGCCACTCGCTCAGGTAGCGGGACACGGGGTCGCGCAGCAGCGTGATGTAGTAGAACTTCCTGCAACGAGAGGGCAGTGAGCGCGAGTGCACAGCGGGTGGGGGCTCCCTGCGGTCCCAGTCTCCCCCTCCAATGAGAGCCAGTGCGTCCTGGCCGCCTGTGTCCACGCGGGGCTGCCTGGCGCCTGCCGCTGGCCAGTCCCCGGGACAGCCTGGTCTCACCTGCTGGGCGGAGCGCTGAGCGGAGACCAAGGTGGCTTAGAGCGCTCCCGCACAGGTCAGCGCAGCGGGGCAGGAGCGAGGCCTCTCACAGGCGCCCCCACACCCAGGCCCCCAGGAGCAGGGGTGCACCAGCAGAGCCCAGCCCAGTCACAGGGTGAACGACAACCCGTCATTTGTGCTGTTTCCCAAGAACTGGGCCTGTCCACAGGGCGTGTCCACACGAGGGGAGAAAGGGCCAGGGAGGATCGGACCATGTCCCCGTGAAGCATCTGTTTATATAAAACCGCTGCTATTCTGGCTTCTGTAAATGTGTGCTGGCTTAAATAATAAGGGAAGTAAGACTACTCCCATTCCAGAGAGGCCGTGGACTGCCCCAGACAGAGCTGTCAGTGCGGGCGCCAGGCCAGGCCTGGAGATACGGTCTCATGGCCCCTCCCAGCACGAGGCCTTCTTTCCCAGAAGGCCCGGAAGTCTCATTCCAAATTTGGGACACAAAAGAGCTAGGCCAGTGGTCGGCAAACTCATTAGTCAACAGAGCCAAATATCAACAGTACAACGATTGAAATTCCTTTTGAGAGTCGAAAACCAACTTCTGTGCACGGGCCACGAAGTTTCAATCGCACTGAACGTGCGCGCCCAAACGTGGTGTTTTGTGGAAGAGCCACACTCAAGGGGCCAAAGAGCCGCATGTGGCTTGTGAGCGCAGTTTGCCGACCACGAGTCTAGGAAACGTATACATGGAGAAGGTTTCCTCCAAGTGTGGGGTGAACTTGAAAGGCACGCCTTTCTCGGGTCCGCCCTCAGTGAGATGTGCCTTCTCTGAGCTGCTGGGTTCCTCCGCCTGTGACCCCGACGACGGGGCACCTCGAGCTGGAGCCAGATGCTCCCAGGACAGGCCTGTGCAGCTCTTGGGCCAGCCCCTCCGGAACCCCCAGCTCCGGTGGAACCTGCTCAGTGGCTCCTGCCGGCCTTGGGAGAAGAGCGAAAGCCACCTGCACCCTCGGGTCCCTCCCTGACTCCTGGGCCCTCCCCTCGGCCTCTCCTGGCTCCCGGGGTGTGTCTGCTTCCCTCGCTCCTTCAGTGCTGACCCGGCCCCTCCTCTGGGCCTTAGCCAGACCCCAGCAGCCTCGCTCACAGACATGCCTTCCTTGTGGGCCTGGCACAGCTGTGGCTGCACCCTGACCTCTGAGCTCACCCTCAGGCAGGGAGTGGATGGCAGGCTCCTGTGTGCACTGAGCCAGGCCCCGGTGCCTCCTGGGACGGGACCGAGAAGGGAGGGTGACGGGTCCCAGGTAGAAGAAGGGGCCCCAGGAGAGGACACTTGCCCTGAGCGGGGCAGCTGCCTGGTGCCTGCGGCCCAGCTCTGGGGTGGCATGTGGCCAGGCTCCTCCCTGCAGACTTCGGGTTGGTGGCCTCTGGCCAGTGTGAAAGCCTCAGATGGGGCCAACCACGGCATCAATTGACATGGGCCAGCATCCCAGAGAACAGTGTGAGTCCATGACAAATCCTGACCCCACAACCGCTTCTAAAGAGGCCGAGATAGGACATGCCAGACACACGTGTGTTCATGAAGCACACACGCTTGCATGCAGGTTCCCAGGAGGTTCTGTGTCTGCTGCCACGTCCAGCCCCACCTGCCCAGGACCCACAAAACCAGGACGTGCATGTTGCCTGCCGGACGTGAGTCCCTAGCTAAGGTGTGGCTCCGCCTGGCTCCACAGGTGACCCCTGTGGAGCCAGGCGGAGCCAGGCAGGTCCCGGCACGCGTGTGGAGCTCCTGTCTGCCGCAGCCGCAGCCGCAGCCCCTGCCCCCTCCCTGCTACACGTCTTCCCCGGCCACGCCGCCTGGACGCCGCAGCCGCACGTGCACAGGACGGCGTGGATTCCGACGGAACGTGTCAGCAGTAAACACGACCAACCACGGCCGCTCACACAACTGGGGTACATTTGATGACGAGGAGGTTGCAGGAAAAGAGCAAATTAAGAACATGTAACAGGTGATTCTGGAAGAAACAGAGCATATGCGACCATGAAGCGAAGGCTGAGTCTCAGAGTCAGAGGCTCAGAGAAAAGGACAGGTTAAAAAACCTAAAAAGAAAGAAAAGAAAGATCCCAGTGCACTCAAAGAAAGCAAAGTCCCCCTCACCCCTCCTGCTCACTCTCCCAACCTAACACACAGAGGGGCCACCTGACCACATTCTGGTTGATACTCACTTCATCAACCTTCCTATTTAGCCACACTGGACTCGGGGCGGCAGTGCTGGCCGTCTCTGCCAGGTGCATCCCTCGTATAACTGACTGTAAGGCTGAAACTGAGAAACGGGGCTCTAGGGCTCCCACGGGTCCAAGATTCGAATGGTCCCGTGCCCCCACAAAGGAGCCTGTGCAGACGATGCTTAGTACAGAGCGCTCAGCACGAGGTTCTATTGTGGCCACAGGTGACGGGACCTTAGCGAAGAATCAGGAAGATCCTGGCGTTCCCGTCAGGACCCGTCTGACCACAGGTGCACAGAGCCGCTGCCAGGGACATGGAGCCCCGGGTCCGATACTGAAAAGACAGCGCTCCTCTGCTTCCCTTCACACAGCTTCCTCCACGTGCTTCTGCTCCCGCACACAGTGCTGTTATGAGCCGAGAAAGTTAAATCACTCACCTTTTGGTGGTGTTTTAAAAATGATACTGATGTTGTTTTGAAAACTGTATTTTGTGTCATTTAAAATTTTGTTACATATTTTTATAAATCAGATGACTGCTCACACACCCACAAAAAAGAAAGAAAATGTAACAGGGCCCAATGATACTGCTTATCAAGCTTCCAAAAATAAAAAGCAAAGAAGCACAAACCGGTTTAGCTCAGTGAATGAAGTGTTGGTCTGCGGACTGAGGGGTCCCAGGTTCGATTCCGGTCGAGGGCATGTGTGTTGGTTGTGGGCACATCCCCGTGGAGGGTCAGCGAGGGCGGCCGACAGGCACTGCCCTCCGGCCTCACCACAGCACAGCCCACAGCCCTCAGGCACACGCCAGCTCCCGACCTGTGAAATCTTATCCATTTCACAGAAAACAAGGTGGCGGGTCAGGCCAGGGGTGCCCTGGCCACGGACCTCAAAGACAGAGCTCAGGCGTAAAGACCCTCATGCTGTGAGCCAGCCGCCTCGAGAGAGCCTCGCTGCTATGCACCGCTCAGCCTGCCATTCCCGGCGACTCAGAGGGGCTTGTTTCTGGGTCTGAAGCCCTGCTTTTAGCGGCCCTGCATTTTTCCAGTTTTATAAAACCCAGTATGATTACCACTGACAGACAGAGGTTAGAGCCCCGTGTGCGCGATCGAAGCTGCTGTTCTCACAGGAGGGCAGGCTGCGAGGCAGGCCTGACCCCACAGCTCCAACACCCTCCTCCCAGGATCCCACAGCGGGGAGGGGCCAACCCTGCTCCTCCCCAGGCAGAGGCGTCAGGCGGGCCAGGGAATGGCGGCCTCTGCAGACAAATTGGAGCCCTCCGGCACACGTCAGAGGCCGCGGGTGCCCACTTTCTCCTGAGGCACACAGCTCGGGGGCCTGACCGATGAGCGGGGAGAGCAGCCCCCTGAGCACTGGTCCTGGGGTGTGTGGTCCCTCCCAAGGGCTCCTGTGGTCGGATGGGAGGAGCGAGGCAAGTGCAATGCGGGTTTGGGGCCCAGCAGAACCCACCGAGTGGGGCACCTCGGCTGCACTCTCCCAGCTCCGGGGGCACCCAGCTGGTGTTTGCCCACCACTGACAGCCCCAGGCAAGGGGTCTGTGCGAGGGCGGGGCAGGCGCCCAGGGCCCGTGTGCTGTCAGCACAGACGTCCAGGCCGCCCACCTGCCCAGGCTCTGCTCTGGCTCCCACCGCCTCCCGCACAGCACACCCCTGCCCCTCCGATCCGCCAGGGAGGGAAAGAGCCAGAATGGACTCACGGCTCTCTGCACAGGAAAGGGGAGGGGGAGGGAGGGTAAAGCAGCCAAACTAGTAGCTCCATAACCTTAAGAGAAAGTCAGAGGCAGCAGTTAACAATCTTCCTACACGAGCTGTGGGAGACCTGCAGCCTAATTTCAAACAGTTCTGCAGAAAAGGAAGGCAGGCAGGCGCAAGCACACGTGTGGCCAGACACACATGATGTGCCGAGCGGGCATCGCCACCGCGGCCGAAGGCTAACGTCCGCACGTCTGGGTTGGGGAGGGTTTTCTGAAGTAAGTTTTTGGGGCGACCCCGGTTAACAGGTTTCAAGTGTACGTTTCCATGACAGGACCCGGGTGCCCGCAGCCAACGTGAACCCCCTCCGTCCCCTAACAGTTTACGGCTATTTCAACAACTTTGTGGGCGCTCCGACAAGGACAGCACCGGCCGCTCCACCGGTCGCTCCGGCCTCCGGTCACAGGAGGGACAGCCCACGAGGCCACCCCCTCCGGTGCCCGTCACACACACGGGGAGGAGGCTGGGACCCAGCGGGACGCCGCGTCCCAGGCTCAGTCTCGGGGACCCGAGGCCCAGCCCAGAAGAGCCGGACCGCACGCCCGGAGCCAGCCTGGCCGCGGGAGGGGCCAGTGCCGGGGCCTGGCCGCCGGGTCAGAGGCCCTGGCACTCAGGCCCTGCATGTGCAGACGAGGAAGCAGTGGCCCAGCACACGGCAGCCTTGACGGAGGGAATTATAGGGCCCAGAAGCAGGTGGTGCCCTCAGCAGGCCCTGGGGGAGGGGAAGGAAGGGGAGGCAGGCCTGGGCCGAGGCAGGGACACCTGAGTGGACGGGCAGCGTGGCTGTGACTCACTGGGCACAGGGGAGGGGTGACCAGCTGACAGCTCGGAGGGAAGAGGCGTCCAGGCCCGCACC